ATTTATTATTTTGTTTTTCTTTACAATAGTTATTAAAATTAGATATTAAATGGACCTACTAGTTGATTATTATTTATTTTACTGAAACAGATTGAGATTTTTGAATGCGGTTTGATGAAAACTAATATATTTATTAAATACATTATTGCTTGATAAGATTTGAATGATTACAATATTTGATAAAACTAGATATTCTTAATAAATCAAAGTAAATGATTAGTTACGTTATTAATTAGATCAAAACACTCACCAAATTGCATGTAAGTGGAAATTTAAGTATAGAATAATATACGCTTCAGTGTTCCATAAATATACGAAAAATTCAAACTATATATAAATATATTGTAATTATTAAGTTTGTAAGTAATTTATAAAGTATTGATTATAAATAAATTAGAAGTTATATACCCATGTTAACGACAGTAGCTTGTATTATCAGAAATAACAAATTAATAATATATCACTTTAAATTGAAAACGAATACATATTATTTAAACTTAAGATTTTTTAACTAGATGTTTAATATTTTTGAATTTAGGTATTCCACAAATTACACCATAAAAAAACGATTAGCTAACTTTTATATGTTTTTATCAATAATAATGCATGATATGTGTAAATAGAATTTTTTTAAATTTATAAATGAGTAAGTCTAGTGGTTATAATTAATATGCACAAACCTAATGATTACTGATTCATGTGAGCTGAAGTTTATCGTCTAGATGATAGATTTAGGTGTTATTAACGACTGTTATTATAAGAGACAGTGGGGATACATATTTGTAATGATTCAATTATCTAATTTTTATGATAACACTTTAATAAACTAGAAGACTTTTCTAAGTCTATATGTAATAATCTTTAGTTTAATTATTTCACTGCATAGATCTTGAAATTTCGCGAAGTATTACCTTACCATTATGAAATTAAAGAAAAATTATCAATGTATGTAATGATGTTTCGCAACATATTTAAGATTTTTTTTATTATCGTAAATTTTATTTTATTTATGCTAAAATTAAGGATTTGAAGTTTTTGAATATTTTTTTTTTGTAATACTATTTTATTACTCATAAAAATATATGTGCCTACCATTTGTATGCCAAATAACAATTTTAATTTACATAAATTTAAAACTTCAATAACACAAAATGAACCAAAAATATTTTCGAAAATTATATTGTAGAAAAATAAACACATCGTTGTAATAATAAAAGCACAATACATACATCTTTTCATTTAAAAATAAATATTTGTGATAAAAAATACACAAATTTAATATTATATTTAAAATACTAATATCTTAAATAAAATTTTTATGTCGCAATAAATATGTGAAAAAATATTTATTTATGTGTTATAAATATTTACTTAACTATTATAAATTGTTGTTTGTGACAAAAACAAAATAAAAATAATAATTACAATAATATTACATGAATATGAAATTATACAAATTAACCAACAACACGAATTTGTGAAGTGCCAAAGTAAATTTTTTTTTTTTTATTAAAAAAAGTTAATATTAATTAAATAAAATATGATGTTATTATGCTTAACAGTCAATAATAAATACAGTAAATAATAAAAAAAATATATACACAAAGATTTAAATAATTAAGCTCAATTACACACTCAATTATTTAAATTCCTACACCAATATATTTTATGAATTTAAATTAAACTAGTTAGTAATATAATTTGACACTAAACGATTATTACACATTTTTTGTTGAAATAACCTTTGTGGCTAATCTATGTAATAAATCAGCAGTATCTGGTCCCGTTTGTTCCACCATTTTGTAAAAAACTCCTTCTTTGTTTTGCAATAAATTATATGGATGGTCAAATTCGACCATTGTTCCTTTGTCCATAACAAGTACCTTATCCGAATCTATAACAGTGTTCAAACGGTGTGCAATTGTTAAAACAGTAGAAGTTTGGAATTTGTTTCTGATAGTCTTTTGAATTAATGCGTCTGTGCTAAAATTAAAAATTAAAATTAAATGTTAAATTCCTAATTCATAATTAAATATAAAAAAAAAAACATTAATTAATATTATATACTGTGGATCGACGTTAGCAGTGGCTTCATCCAGAACAAGAATTTTATTACTTTGAATAATAGCTCGAGCCAGACATATTAATTGCCTTTGACCAACACTGAAATTTGAACCACCTTCTGACATTTTAGAGTAAAGACCATCAGGTAAATTTTCAACAACGTCTTTAAGCTCGACCTAATATACAATTTAAATACATTAACTTTTTTTCACTTATGTGTGTGTGTGTGTGTGTATTTGATTAGAGATTTTTGAACATTTCAAAATATTAAATTATATGATTATTACTTCATCTAATGCATTCAAAAGAATATGATCTGAGTATTCATTAAATGGATCTAAATTGGTTCGCATTGTTCCAGAGAACAATACTGGTTCTTGAGGAATGATGGAAATTTTGGATCGCAAGTCGTGTAATCCCAATTTATGTATTTCTATTCCATCTATAATGATTTCACCTTCATTAAAAGCTAATCTAAATAAGGCTAAAATTAAAGACGATTTTCCTGCTCCAGTTCTACCAACAATTCCTACCTGTAAGTAAAATGTTTGAATTTAAATAATTTATTTTATTATGTACTTAAATTATTAACGAGATTTACTTTTTGCATTGATTCAATGTTAACATTGAGATTATTTATTGCATATGATGATTTTGGACTATATCGTAAATAGAAGTTTTTGAATAAAATACTTCCATTTGATGGCCATTTTAAGGAAGTCAGTTTACCTAAAAACAAAAATTAATTATAGGTTGTTGCATTATTATTTAATACAATATTCATGAAATTTATTTTACACAAACAAAAATGTTAAGATTTTTTTATCTTAGATTTTAGTATTTTAGCCGTATTATTTTATTATAATTTATAATATATATATATATATAATATATTTTTAATTTTGTACTATTTAGCTATAAAGTAAAATAATTTTCGGCATAGAAAATAAATTTAACTTATTTTTTTTTTTAATTCACCAGTATTATATTTTGATAAAATATGTAACACTATTGCGTTTTCAAGTATAAATTTTATTTAAAAAAAATTTTTTTAATTTTACATTTTATTTTTATGATATTAACATTAAAATGTTCACTATATTTTTTGATTTAAAATTCTAAGTTAAAATAAAAAATATTAGATGATATTGAAATTAATATAGAATTTTTTACCCGAAGTAAAATCAAAATATTTTGTTCAATATAATGATTAATAATGAAACTATTGCTACTTAGCGTCAAGATAACCACTATAATATTTACCTGTATTAATCCACCCAATCAATAAAACAAATTTACCTGTTGATGATTTAACTGAGCACTCTTGTGGAGCATTTGTGTATTCTAGAACTCTTTCAACTGACGTCATATGATTTTCTAATTCTGCTGTTTGTCGCATACCAAATTGAACCAAGCCAGCTAATCCACAAGTTTGTGAAATAGCAAGACCAACATTTCCTCCAAATGTTGCTGAACGCAATTATTAATTATTATTAATTTTCAATATATTATTAAAAAATGTATGCATTGTGTATAGCTTACTGTTATTCATAACTATGAAACTGAATGTAACTATGCTTGTATATATAAAGCAAATTAAATCTAACCAAAAAGCAAATGCTCTGCTTGACGTTATAAATAAATACCACGCCGAAGAATGTAAGTCCTGTAATATATTGGTATATTAAATTAAATAACTAATTTAATATTTATTACTTATACTTGATGATCATCAAATTCTTTTGACAATATATTTTCTGCTTCAAATGCCCTTATTGTTGTTAAGCCTTGAATAGTTGCATTGAAATGAGTAAATACAGGACTACGTGCTATTTGTTTTTCATAACAAAAACCACAAAATAAATAATATACTATAGAATTAAAAAAAAAAAAACACGTATCTAAAGTAATTTTTACATTATTATCTCTACTTACTACTTCCTTCCAATCGTTTTACACTTCGTGATAATGACAAATAAAAAACTGTTATTTTATAAAAAATAATTGCTAAGATGATAGCTGGAATCATAAGATATATGTTTATAATTCCAACAACGATTAATACTCCCAAAAGGTTCAGTGCGTTCTAGTTATAATATATTTATACAAAAATTGGTTATTGTTTTGTTACATAGCTATCTATTATCTATTTAATGTACTATTGAATTACGTGTATACAATCCAACAAGGATACAGGTAACATCTCATCAATAGTTCCTATGTCCTTTGAAAAGCGGTTAAGTATAGATCCTAAACAAATAAATCAAAATAAACTTTAACAAAATTACATAATTATTTAAAAAAAATTATTACCTGATAAATTTGTATTAAAAAAATATGTCGTGGCTTTGATTAAAGTATTGAACATATTATTGTGTAAATTTATAGAAGCACTCATACTGATTGATACAAATGTAATTAATCTGATGGTTGTAATAATAATTAAAAAAAGAGTGATACAGCTAAAAACATATATGCAGGTCTGTCGAGAAATGGTCATCCACCAAACAACATCACTTATTGGATCATGAAATGTTAAAGTGGACACATTATTTTTATTTTGAAAAACGTGTTCTTCTAAGTTTACCCTGAAATTAAAAATATAAATTAATATTATATTCTAATTAAGTGATCTGAAAATATATATTACCAATATGTTATCCAGAAATCTCCAGCAGAAGTCAATACTTGAGTTATTATACATATAAAAATAAAAAATAATATTTTGTACTTTTTTCCACCAGCCAAAAAATACGAAAAATAAACGACATATGAAATATTTCCCGAACTCCGAGATTCAATAACCCTAGTGGGCTCTACTAGATCTTCATTGTGGTTACTTTCATCACTTGACGATATGATACTTGCCACTGATGCACGGCGTTTAAAAGTAGACTTTTGTTCGGCGCTTAAAATGTTTTTATCACTAATTATATATTTATCATTTGGTAACTTAGAAACTTGAATATAATTTGTTAAATCTATATTGGATGCACAAAGTTCTTCATATGTACCTTTCGCCAATATTTTAGCCTAAAACAAAAGAAATTAATTGACTTATACTAATTGTATCAGTAATTATAGTTGAAATGTTTATATTTACATTTTCCATGACTAAAATTTGATCCATATCAGTTAAATACTGCATTTGATGAGTGACAATTATACAAGTTTTTTTTTTAAGAAAACCTATTAAAATATTAAAATATAAGATTTATTTAAGTAAAACAATATTTAGCGAATATTATTTTTGGATAACATTGGATTGAAGTCCCAAATATTGAATTGAATTTCGCAAATACTTTTGAGTTATCGGAGTTGAGTCCTACTAATATTGTTAGGTTATTCGAGTTGAGTCCCTTTTTTTAACAATAATAATAAGTATAAAGTGTCAATTAATTAAAAACAACAATAAATAAAGGCCTTTTTTACCTAGAGAATAATTCTTTATCGACAGTTAAAGAAAAATACTAAAAGAAATTGAAAATTTATCATAGCTATAAATATTTCAAAAAGAGTAAATATTTGTTGAAAATTTAATCATAATATAGGTATTGAAAACAATAATTTGGAAATTTAAAGTACATACTTATTATTTATCTTATTATTTTTGGAAATATAATAAAATATTAAAAATTTTTTGAGGAGAAAGAATTATTTTACGGGTGAATATCTTAACATATACTCCATTTTTCACTCGTAACAATTTAATAATTAAGAAGTATTAACTAATAGTGCATCACCGGCTATATATGTAGTTATGACATTTTATCTATACGGGACTCAATTCAAAAATATTAAAATAATAAGCTGGACTCAATTCAATATCACTGTTATTTTTACGTAGTTACCTTTAATGCACATTTCAAATAAATGACTTCCAACGTTTGGGTCAACCGCTGAAAGAGGGTCATCCAATAAATAAATATCCGCTTGTTTGTATAGAGCTCTGAAAGAAAAAAATTTTCCCCAAATTCAAACAATAAATATTTTATCTATTGTATTAATATGTTTTCTTACCTAGCTAAATTAATTCTTACTCTTTGGCCACCACTTAGAGTAGCCCCTCTTTCTCCTACGACTGTTTTATCGCCGTAAGGAAACTGTTCAAAATCACTTTTCAATTTACATATTCTTATTATCTATATCAGAAACAAATTATAAAATTAAATTTGCTATGTAGATTGCATAAATCTTTTACAAGAATTAACCTGTTTATAACGATCCTTGTCCATTGGTGAATTAAATACAATATTTTGTTGAACAGATCCAGCAAATATCCACGGTTCTTGGGACGCGTAAGAAATTACACCACGCACGTGTATGATGCCTTCAGAAAGTGGTAATTCTCGTAAAATAGCTTGTATTAATGAACTCTGTAATAAAAATATTATGTTGGTAACTTCATTAAAACGTTTGAAAAAGATTTAAATATTACAAACTTTTCCTGATCCTACAGCACCAACGATTGCGACCAAATTACCAGGTTTTATGGCCAGAGATACATTTTCTAAAGTATTGTTAGTTTGATTATTTATCCACTTAGCGGTAGCTTTCAAAATTTCCACACTAAAATTATTTAAAAGTTTCATGTTATATTTTATGTCAGTAGTATTTTTATCTGGATATATTATTGATTCGTTATGACTACTAATCATTGATTTTTCAGAAATAGATTGCATTGGTATACGATTATCATCTTTTTCTTCGCGTAATAAAAAATCCTATAATTTGATAATGTATTTTTAGGTTTTAAGTTTTTGTTATTAAATTATCATAAGTTGTTTTTTAAATACCTGTATGCGTTTTATTGATACTTGCAGTTCTGAAATTTGTCCCAGACCTTGACAGAAAAAAAAAGTCATTGTTGGCATTAGGATACTGTAGTATGTAGTTATGACAAAAATCTAAAAATATTAAAAGTGTTTTGTATTATAACATATTATAAATAGTGTTTATCACGTATTCATTACTTTTTGAACAGATATATAATTTCCCAATAAAACATATGATAAAATACTAATAAATAGTTGAAACCTCGTTTGAATTATTGCTAACGATGTCAAAGTATCTCTGATGTATGCTGATATTTTCAAATGTTCGATTTCTTTTCTACAGTAATGATATAAAAATTTACATAATAATATGTATTTCTATATATTATTGGATATAAATTTATAAAAACATACTTTCTTATATATATTACTAATTTTGAAAATAATTTTTCCCAAGTGTACATTTTAATTACTTTAATACCAGAAATGATTTCATTCATTAAACGAATTCTTTCATCGGTTTTTTTGGCTGTTTTCAATCGAGTTTTAGAAAGTTTTTTCCCTAACCATCCTAAAAATATAACAACCTTGTTTAAAGTATCAACATTACTATTCTAGTAAAATTTAAATATTTCATATTCCACAAACCTTGAAATGGAATTATTAAAATCATGATAACTATACTCAACAATGAAGAAATTCCTATTTCCTGCCACAAAAAATATGTGACCACAATTGATTGTAGGGGACCAATCCATAAATAGTGAAGAAATGTTGCTGCTCTATCGAACCGATTTACATCATTAGATAACAAGTTTATCACTTGACCGATCGTTGTTTCACCAATAGCAGTATTACTTAGACGTAGTGACTGTAAAAAATAAAAATAAATTAATTAATTTATAAATCATGCTTAAATTTAATTTTAGTTCCAATTAAAATTTTAAAATGTGACTAGTTTTATGTTAAATATCTATCTATAATATTAAACTATATGAGTTGATAAAAAAAATATTAGAATTTTTAAATTAATTTTTAGTGATTATTATTAATTCGACAAAAAACATTGCAATTGAATAATATTTTAAAAATAAAAATATTAAATAATTGTATTAAAATAAAATTTAAGAATATCAGTTGACTATTAGGTATTACTAACATTCAGAATTTCAAGAATAATACTTCTATTAAAATTTAATGTATTTTTAATTAGTTGCCAAAAAAATATGTATGGTTTCGGTATAGGTATACATTATGGATCTATTATTTATTTTTTTAAAGGCAATCGATATTTGAATTGTTCTATCTAATAAAAACACGTTTATCACAAATAATCAATAATTATATTTATTTTTTTCTATATTTAGAGCATTGAATAACAGGGACACATTTAACTAATCAGTTTTACATATTATTCTGTTACATATATAAAAATAAAAAAAATATTTTTTGAATAGCTAATATATGTACATACTTTTCTAAATATTACCGAACAGCAAGCGATTCGCATCTTCATACCACAATGTAAAATTTCTATTAGTGTTACATTTTGCAAGACCATTGAAGTAAACATGCTTAACACTAAGCCAAATGCACACATGTATGTATACCCTAAGTCAGCTTTGTTGGTTTCAACTGGATTAAAATATGCTAATATTCCTCCAATAAATAGTGGTTGAGACATTCTAAAATTGGACACACAGACACACAATATTATAATATAGCAGGAGCAGTCAAATTGCGGCTCGCATTTCATCGTAAAAATATATAAAATAATTTCTACAAAATATTTTTTTTTCATATGAATTTGAAGAAGTATAATATTTTATTAAATCACAATTTTATTTATAGAAAAAATTTACAAAACAAAAAAAAAATACAGTGTTTTTGATATAATATTTAAATAAGTATTTATTTTTTTTTTTTTTAAATAAAAATTTATATTTTATATTGTTTCGCATAATATAAATTTTATTTTATCTTATTTACGATAATTATATACTCATATGTACATATATATTAATATGATTTTTTTTTTACATTTTGACCCTTCCACCCTTCCATATATATTATATGGGCCACTTCTGTAATATAGTTACATACTAAAACTTTTTATTATAATTGTTATAAAATATTCACAAATAAGTAAGAATATTTATTTTTGTAATTTACATCACATATAACTTATTTGCAATATTTACAGATTAATAGGTAAATTTAAGTTCTTTATTATTTTGTAAATATATTTAATTTTTATGGATAATTTGTATTTGCATAATATATAAATGAATATTAATTAACGATTAATGAATAATTAATAACATAATATTATATACATTAGAACTTTCTAAATTACACGTTTTTATATTATGTTTGTAAATACTTAAAATATTTTATTTTTTTAAACTTTTGATTATTTTTATTGTTTATTGCCAATTAACTATATTTGTACTTTGTAGTTCTAGTATTTTTAAACTTGTAGTGAATAATATGTAGGTGATATAGATACTATATTAATAAGTTTATTTAAAACTATAATAATTATAAAACAAAAAAAAAAAAAAAAACGAAAATTTAAAAATGCCCTGATAAATATTTTTATTGAACTAAAATGTTATTATGTAAGTATTATATTTATTTGTATTATTTAAATATTGTATTTAAAAATAAGAAACATCAATTTTTGTAAATTAAGCTTGATTTTTTATATCATATTAAATTAATTATTTTAATTATTAATTAACTGCCACAATTCTAAATTAATGTGTATTAAGTTGTTTGTTAATAATTACTAAAATACGATAAAATATCATCATGTAATTCTTACTTCAATATAATTTTATCAATGAACAGTAAAAAACCATAAAACATATACTCAATAGCAGACATTCGAATCAAAGCTCTTGTCAAGCTAGGTTTTCGTTTCAGTTTAAATGCACTTTCCAGTTCTAAATTCCATTTTCTAAAAGTAAAAATATAAAATAACCAAATGACATTTTTTTTTTTTTTTTTTTATTGAATTACTTTTCTAATTCATTTCCCAATAATGACGAAGTGTGATCGCTTAATGTTATATACAAATCATTTTCTTCTAATTCTCTTTTTCGTCCTGTTTTGAATAGGTTTAACATCCAGCTATACGAAAATAGATTTAAAATATAATTAATAATAAAATAAATTAAGGAACTGGAAACAAGCAATAGTGAGTTTTTTTACTTAGATACTTATTGCAAGAAGGAAAAAAAAATTTTATTTTATAAAAGTAACTTGTATTATATTAGGCACAATACATACATAAATGTGTGTGCGCGCGCACGCGTATGTGTGAATAATGTGTTAAATATTATACTTAAAATTAAATTATTTAGTAGGTGATTGATATAACTAAGTAGAGAAAACAAAAAAAAAAAAATAAAATAAAATAATGCATATATTATTTTAATATTATTTCTTAGATATTATAGTCACGCTATGTACGAACGTTGACGCACTTATTTAAAAAGTTTGATAAATCTATTTGATAGTTTTTATTACTTGATTTTGTATAGTAAATATGATTGAGTTTTTTTTTTTTTTTGTATCTATACTCATTAAGTTAACACATGTCATTAAGAAACGAAATGAATAAATACTAGATCGAAATTATTAAATAGAACTGGACATAAACAATTCGATTTCACTTATTGATATGAGTGATTGAAAAATTGTTATATTTTTAATGCTTTTGGTAAAAATATAATTGAAATAAAATAAAATAAAAATAATAATATTATTTAATAATAATCTTATCATACAATTCAATATTTATTACCTATAGAATAAATAACTTTTTTAACATCTTGTTAAGATAATGACTATCATTGATACGTACCTACTACCTGCATAAATTGATACCGTATCAAATATTAGCATAATATAATATATATTTGTCCTACAGTCTTGGAATATTTTATTTTAAATGTGATATATTAGTCAAGTGCCAACATTTCGTCTTTACTTTCATTATAATATTCAAATATCGGTAAAGAGTTTATTGAAATAATATTCGATTTCATATATCTAAACGAATATACTTTAACTGTATTTATTTACCTGTATGAAATAATTTCAAAAACATTTGCATTGTTTCTTGGATGCTGAGGCCGTTCTATTTTTTTATCAGCATGTGTTATTAACCTTGAAAAATTTAAAAAATATTAATCATTTTTTAAACAAAATATAAAAATTCAAATTCAAAAACCTTACCTATACATAACGTATTATGTAAAATCAGCTGTAATTTTAAATAACTGTTTAGTTATTATTATTTTAAAGTTTTTCTCTTCAAGTAAAAACATAAATTTATGTATGTGTAGATATAAATATTAATTGGTTAACTGAAAAATGATTAGGAATAAATTAATTTAAATTACAACATGCTCATTATATATAATCAATTATTTTAAATTCGTAATAGTATTTATCACATTTTTACAATATATTAACCTAACCTTTATTTTACGTCATAAATCGATCGTTGCTTATTTATTAGTAACACAATTTTTTTCTATATCTATGTCTGTTATCTGTAGTTTGAATTAATATACTAATGTTGATATTATATTCAACGAAAGACAAATCAAGAGGCTTTGATTTTTTTTCTATTCTTTTCTATTTTATTATTAATTTTATGCAATAAGCTATATTATTGAGTAATTCATTATACTTTTATTTCCAAATAAAACGGTCTATGCTATTGTTTATTATTTTTTGATACTAACAAATTTTACCTACACAATTTAATATGGTTATTTGTTCTTAATAAATTAATTTTATTAACGTATTTATATTTATATCTAAGTTTTATGGTTAGAGTTGTTTTTTTCTCATTTTAAATTTTGTTCATTATTTGACTTTTAAAGAGTTAAAATTTGTGATATTTATTTTATAACATAATGTTTGTATTAAAAATACATTATTCATTAATATCAGACCATTTTTAAAATAAGTTTTATCATTTGCTTTTCTTCTATTGTTAAAATTATGTTAGCAATTTTGTGATTGATACATATAAAATATTTAATTGATCAATCGTTATCCAGCTACTCATATTAAATTCTTTCCGTTTCTCAAATTCCAACTCTTATTATCATTTTATTTTTTTATTTTTGTATCATTTAGACATATTTAACTATTAACTATTACTTCGTTATAATAAATAAAAAAGTTGATTAATTTTATTATTGTTAGATAAAAAAGTGCTTAGACAATTTTGTTTTTAGACTTAAGTACGATTAATTTACTTACCTATTAAAGATGGTTTCATCAGAAAAAAAAAAACTAAATAACGCTGTAATGTTTTTGGCTTAAAGTTTATAATTGTAAAAGTTGTCTCAGCTATTTTAAGTAACAAAGTTTCTTGTATATTATTGTTGGACATCGGGCCGACATATGTTGCAATACTGTTAGTTGCGTGATAGAGAAACGTAAGTGATGACTGATGACGAAACTGTTATAATAAGTATGAAGACGATTATTATTGTTATACCATACAATAAACGTTATTGATATAATTAATAGTGTAGAATGTGTGCATAGACTATTTTATTATTAATTATTATTATTATTATTTTTTTTTTTTTTTTTGGTTGAATTACAAATATTATATTTTATAATTATAATATTACAAAATTTTGTTTCATAACTATATGATTTTTAATTTACTGTTGATGAAAAAATAGAAGTTAACTGAAGGTAGGCTAAAAATATATTTAACTTTACTATATGATAATAATATTATGATTTAATATTGAGCAATCAAAGTAATTGTTTTTAAATAACTTTGTTAATTTATACAGCTGCAGCGAGTCACTAAAATAACGTAATGATTAAACTGTCAAAGAAAAATGTTTTTTGAAAATGTATAGTTGCAATTTATCAGATTTTTATTTAAAATACTATATACTTCATAAAATAATAATATTTTATATTTTATAAGAAAATTTTAAATTCTAAGCGGAGCGTTAAATGTATTAATTATATAGGTAGTAAGTGTTCTTGTATGATAATATTATGCTGTGATCTTAAAAAGAAGAATGAAGATAGTTTTGGATATAAAACTGAATTTAGTTTGTTAAATTTAAGAATTTCCAGCGGTAAAATACGATTGAAAACATATTTTTGGTAACACCATTGACAACGCTCGAGTTTTTTTATTTTTCCAACGTTGCCAAATGTAATTAATTGATAATATGAGCACAATAATCTATTGATATTATTGGACTTTTATTGAATTAGTCGGATATTAATAGTAACTTATATACCAGATACGAGAGAATGATATAATAGTCAATTTTACAGCTCTTATCTAATAATAAATATATATAGTTATTAAACTTCTAATTGAAACTCAAGCAGAAACAATATTAAAAATAGCTATGATACAGAGTAAAAAAAAAAAAAAAAATGCCAAAAAAACAAAGGGATAAAATACTTAATATTCATAGTAAATATATGTGGTATGTGGAAAATAAAAGTTCTAATAATTTATTAAAATATTTAGAGTATGTTGGCTTACGCTATACCGCTATAACTGATATATAGGTAATTAAGTTGTTATTATAAAATATTATATTTATTTTATTTTTATACATATAAATTTCATAATTTTATAAGTTTTGCATATTTTACATTTTCTTATACATTTTATAATTAAATTTATGAAAAAACTTAATATAGATTAACAAACAAAACAGTGATATATTGTTTTGATATAAATAAATATGATTTTAAATACATCGCTATTAGTAGCTAACAATTATAAGCATACAAATCACTAAAACTATTAAGTAATTTTTTTTAAAGTATATTTTGTTTAATTAGTATCATATAGAGCTTGATATATTAAACAAAATATAAACGATAAAAACCTATGAGAATAATAACTAGTAAATTTGTTATTGTAATATCGCAGTTTAAATTGTATTTGTATATTCATTTTTGGACTGATATATAATTTCTTAGTAATATGTATGATAAAATACAAACACTGAGATAGATAAGTATATACTGGAGCACGGACTCTACCGTAAAAACGAGCCGACGTCGTTTGACGTTATCTCCACCATCGAAGGGCAAAACATTTAATTATTACATACAGTAGATGTGTTATAGTGGGTATTTTCTTTTATAAATTTTTATTTATTACAAATACTTTCTTATTTATTTTATACATTGAAAGTACTTGTACCTAACAACTCATCATTTTTCGATTTATATGATTTTGTAACGTTGTTAATTCAAATTGTTATTTGTTAGTTTGTGAATCAATCATTATTATGGTTGTCTCATGTTCAGCATTTGGATGTACCTACCAATAGGAAATACAAAGGTGGAAGTATTCAGTTCCATAAGTAAGTATTAATAAAATTAAATAACGCTAATAAATTGATATTATACATATACTGTAAATTAATATTTTATATGCAGATTTCCACAGAATTACTAAAAAAATGGATAATTGAAGTAAAAAGAAAAAAAATTGTACCTACAAAGTTCAGTTCATTATGTAGTGAAGACTTTAAAGCTGAAGATTATCAGATTCGGCCTGGGGCGTTATCTTTCAAAAACTAATGCATTTCCATCTATATTTAAAGGGTTTCCAAGTCATTTACAAAAAAAAAAAAATGCCTGTTAAACGTCGTATATTAAAGAAAATTATGGTTAAAATTAACTATATCTAGTACCCACCTACCTATATAAATCACAATATATTAATGAATCCATATTTTAGACCTATGAAGCAGATGTAAAAGTTCAACAACAATTAACACTTGGTGGTTAAAAATGTGTAATAATTTAGTTTTAAGATAATTTATATATACTTATTTATTTATTTGGACGAACGCCTGGTAGAATTTATATTATATATTATAATTTTAAATTTATTGAAGTATTAGATGTTAATATGATTATTTTGTAAAATAAGAAACAGTTATAAAATAAATATGTTTTTCATTTTAAATCATAATTTACCTACTGATTGGTTTTTCTATGTGATTTAATTTTTTATATCTTTCATTTAATTAGGAATATGAGTTGTATAACAATGGTTCAGATTTATATAATCTGAAATTAATGTTGATATTCTCTAAAAAAACATAAATATTCTCCTTATATTATCTAAATACTAAAATATGCCAGAATAATCAATAAATATCAATTGAATATATGCTTTTAAATGTATTTTTTTTTTTTTTTTAAAAGGATGGATTAGAAATATGGTGCAATGCATTTAAGTAATTGTACCTAGGTGTTTAAAATAATATTAAATTTAAAAGCAATACAAATTAGAAAATAATTTTCTTTTAACATATTTATATTATAGTGAGTAAATTATTCTATTTTTTTACAAGTTCCTTAACATTAAAACAATCAATAAGTAATAAAAATTTTAAATTAATACAAACCGTTTTTTCTCACAATTTATAAAAATAAGCTAAATATTTATTAATTCTAGAAATTCGTATTTTTTTTTCCTGTGAACTCCGTGTTGAATAAATCGAACACATGTTTTACTCATTCTCACAAAACTGCATTATATACACAATAAAGATTTATAAAAACAATCCGGACTTGTTATAAACTTAAAACCATGGTAATAAAGTAAAGTTATGGCTTATAACTATATACTACATTAAATTTATAAAAGAAATAAGAAAATAATTGAAATAAATTAATAATTGTAAACAAAAATAACCAGTATACATGTCCATCATGTGTAAAAATGAAATGTTTTGTCCTTCGATGGTGGGGGAACCCGCGTTCGAGCCGGCTCGTTTTTCGTAACATTGGGAACATAGCGAGTCCGCACTCCAGTATATTCTTATCTATCTCAGTGAATACAAATGAATAGTTTAAACATTGATTGAATAATTTTATTGATAACGTTAACGATGTAATTTTGATATACAGCGATATTCGTCGAATTTCCATTCTAAAATTATACAATTATTTGTATTTATAATTTGATAATATTTTTAATGATAGGTATATACTTTCTTGTATATTCAATTAGTTTTCTAAAAAGTATTTACCAATTAAATAATATTATTTTTCTAGTCCAATTATCCACAAACTTTGAAACGAAATAGTTGAACATAGTACAGTTATGGTTGATAGTAAAGATACACCAATTTCCTACCACAGGAAATATATGATTACAATTGTTTGTACTGAAAAATCCATATATAATTGAAAAATGTAGCTGATCTATCAAATCTATTAACATAATTTGATAACAAATTGACCACTTAGCCGATCGTGGTATAATCAATAGCAAAATGATTTGGCGTGATAACTGTGGATAATAAATATATTTTCATTATATTTTATAAGAGTTTTTAAAATTTATTTTATCATTAAAATTAAATGCATTTTTTTTGAGGGGTATACAACTTTATTGATATTTTTGCTATCAGTAATTTTTTAATATTAAAATAAATAATTTATATTGAAATATTTTATAAATACTTTAAACAACGTAATTAAATAATTGAAAAAATCGTATCACTGTTATATTTTAATTCTTGGTTCCTAAATATGTTTCACGCAACCGTCAATTATACATGCGCATGCTAGAATATTATACATTTATATATATAATTGAACAATAAGCAACTTGAACTTTCATCCCACTATGTAAGATTTCAATTTGTGCTGAATGGTACAAAATTATTTAAGTGAACATGCTAAACTTTAGACCAAATGCACAAATTGATGCATACTCGAAGTTCACTTTGTTAGAACCATCTGGGTTGAAGTATGATAATATTCCACTAATTAAAAAAGGTTGAGATATTTTACAAATAAAAAATGTGTAAAATAATATTATAAACATGTTAAAGTTATTGAGCTTTTTTAAATCTTAAATGACCGGGTTTAAAACGGGGTCAATAATTATTACGCAAAAATAATCCTTAATTTTACTCTTACTTCAAAATGACTTTATCAACGAAGAGTATACAATATACATCCATAAAATATAAACTTATGTTCAAATATTCCAATCAAAATTTGCAATAGAATAGGCTCTCGATTTTTCTTATATGCGTTTGCAATTTTTAATTTCTATTTTCTTCAATAAAAAATATAACAACATTTAATACAAATATTAATAAATATATACATGAAAAATATTAATTTATGAGTTAACTTTTTTGTTTCTCAGCACTGACAAACTGTGATCACTTAATATGATTTATAAATCATCTTCGAAGTTCCTTTTCTGTCCTGTTTTATATATGATTAACAACCTGCAGCTATAAGATAAAAAATAATAATAATTATAATTTAAATATTTAGGAAAATAAAAACGCAGGTTAAACACGTACACAGTGTTTTATCTATTTTAATCTTATTTACAACAATATAATAATATGTAAAGTAGAGCACACTTCAATATTTTATTTTATTTCTTGTAGACTTAGTATGTTAATACATATACATACAAGCTAAGTAAATTGAGTTATGAATTATGATAAATATATCGTAATGAACCGTTCATAGAATTTAATCTGGTATGAAAAGTTGACAAGTCAAAATATCGACGGTCGTTGTAATTTCTATAAATAAATTTGTAGTTATAATTATTTTTTCAATGGAAAAATAAAAATAAAAAATTAGTGTTGAAAAAAAATATTATAAATTAAGAACTTTGTTTTCTGATAGTAAAAGATACATATTTTTAATTAAATAATAATTCATTAATAAGTAGTAAATAATAATTTTAATAATAATAATAATTTTGATTGTACTGCAATGTTTTTTAAAAAACATTGATCAATTTTTCTTAAACATTTAAAATTTATTTTTCGAACTTAAATTTTTTTAATAGACGATTATTTTTACCACAAAAAATTTGTTTATACGCATTTTTATTTTTTAATATTTAATTTGGTAATAACAAACTTTGGTTTGTCGATATTTTCTTCTTTTCGATATTTTCAATCTGTTAATATTTTGTACTTTTCGATATTTTACAATTGAAATTTTAACTGTCGGCGTTTATATCAGCTTCCTTTATACGACCTTCATGTACACGTCAATTTTATATACTAAACAATAATATTTACTATGAGTACAATGTAAGTGGATTAAAACGTATTATATAAAGACATGAAGTTTATATGTACATAATATAATGCACAGGATGTTATATAGTATTATAACTAACTTACGTACATCCTTTAGAATAATGAAACCGGGATGCGTATATCAATACATTTATTTTAATTACCTAAATGAAATAATTTTAAATATATTTGAATTTTTTCTTGGGTTTTGAGGCCGCGTGGTTTTATTATCTGTATCTATTATTACTCTAAAAAATTTAAATTTTAATAAAGCGATTTACCTAAGTTAATTAAAATAGAAATTTGATAACTGACCTGTACATAATGTCAAATGAATATTAGTTCTTAATAGTTAAGAAAAAAATAGTTTTGTACTACTATTATTATTTATACTTTCCTTGGTAATTTATGTACAAAAAAAAAAAAAAAAGAAAAAAAATCATAATATTAGTTTTCATTTAAATTTATTACTTAGGTGATTAATATATGATTCAATTTTTACATAATATATGAAAATCCATTAACTTCACATTAAATTTACTTACTATTTAAAGAATATTGTTTAATTCAATATTACTTGCATTCAAAATTTTTTAAATTTATTGTTTATAGTTTATGAAATTCCTTGATTACAATTTTAAAGTTAAGAATTGATTGTTTTTAAAATTACCAGTTTTATTTAAAAATAATATACTACATTGTTGATAGAAGGTTTCTTATGAAAGATTATTTTAGAACACGAATATTAAGATAGTGTTAATATTCATTTATATATTTTTTAAAACCAATTTACATTATAATGTACTTTAAATAGTGTTTTTTTTATCTTTTTAGCCAACTGTTTAGAACTGATGGTAATGTGTTTGAATAAAACGTTTTGAAGTATAACCTCTTCAATGTAAAATTATTGTTCTAAAAAATTAAAAATATTTACAACCTACCTATTGCAATAGTATTTATAATATTATCTTTAAAGTAAATTTAGATAAATAATTTTTTTTTTTTGATTATTTTAGTAATGCGCCATTCGATCTTGAAGGTAAAGGTATTATAGGTACTTGAGTTAATAATTATATGTATGATTTTTTTTCTTAGAAATAGGTACTAATCTTATAATCAATACCTATCTACAGAGTTTTATTAAAATGTTTCAACTTGTATTATAAAAATATTATGATCATTTTACTATACACTAAAAATTATTATATCAAAAATTTTAAGTAACAGAAGTATGTGAAATTTTTTTTTTCGAGTTTTCTTAATACAATTCACAAGTAAGCACGTTAGTATTCGAAATTTATTTATTCCGCATTAAATGATATTGTTAAAAAAATGCATAATGGTTCATAAAGATAATTCATAAAATGTTCTACATTCATACTTAGTATTTAGAAATTTATAATAAAATACCACACAAATTCTACTCGTTGTAGTTTAAAAATATTAAAAAAAAAAAAAAATTAGACACGATTTTAAAATTAAAAATTTACGAAGTTTTCAACTTTTTTAGCTAAGTCTTAAAAATTTAACACAAAATGTCTTATCTAAAAAAATATAGGAGCACAGTTTTTTTTAAAAGATGAAAAGTAATGAAGTTACTATTTTGTTGTATTTTTAAAGTATTATTTTGCAATATTCACATCGTTCTATAATAAATTTATGTTTGCTCTTTTTATTACTATAATAATATATAAGTTAAATTTGCCAAAATTGATTTAAGTTACTACATTACATTAACCATAAAATAAATTTAGTAATAATATTTTGTTACCGCTCTCGATGCTCAGAATCGTTTTTTATTTAAAATATTTATTATTTATTTCAGATTTAACGAATTAATTAAAGTGACCTATTTACTAACAAACTACATTTGAAACCAGTACAGGAATGTGGTAACTTTCTTTGTATAAGCCCAATTTTTATTATGATTTTTGAGTATTTAATACATTTTTTCGTATTTTTATTTATTAAATTGAGTTTTCATTAATCAGTTTTAATATTTTTTTTTAGTGTTTTCAAAATATAAATAAATTTCATGATATATAACTGTCGAAAAAAATGCATTCTAAAATATTAGCTTTCTGTGTAGATTTTAGTTCAAAATAAATAATTAATTATCAATATTCACTTAATAAAAAGCTGTTGGAAGATAATAAATATATTGATAGTAAAATTCAGCATGTAATAATAAATTCATAATTTCATTACAAAACTCACGAATTTGTAGGAAATTAAATTCATAGATTCACGTGATTCATACGTTAATTTTAATTTAATGTCATTGCTTATGTGATATTTAATTTCACGTGTATCCGTGAATTTAACTACACGTGAAATAAAAAAAGTCTAATAAAAATAAAACGAATAACTCTGATTTTGTTCATATAATTATTGTGGCTTAGTTGAGTACATTCTATTTGAGTTCTTTTTCAGTCTTAGTATGAAATATTATGAAAAAAAAAAAAAAAAAAAAAAATATTGAATGATGCTTATAAATATTATAAAACATAAATGTGAATAAATTCAAAATAATATTTTTTATTATTTAATCCTAATGATATTAATTATTATTATTATTGTATCACAATAGTTATTATTTAAATCAATATTGAAAATCACTAACTATTAAGATTTCAAAAGTACCATCTGAAATATTTAACTAAATTATATTTTATTTTATCATGTACATCTATAAATTTTTATTCGATAAAATAAAAAAATATCTCAATTATAAAATCGGTTAAGAGCAATTCTACATTGAATACAATTTATTAATATATTAATATATTGATTTATTTTATTTAGTTACTATTTTCAAGCTTATAACGGCGAGTATCAACTATTAATTATATTTTGTGCAGTAATTATAATGTAAATAAAGTTAATAATCGGGTAATTAATTTAATTGGAAATCATTAAATACTTCTAGAAAGGTCAAGAACCATATTATGATAAAAATTAAAAATATATTTAAGTTCAACAAATTTAGTTGTATATTAAATAAAATAAATTTTCGATGGAGAAATATTAATAAAATTATTAAATAATTAAAATATGTATCAAAAAGTAAAAAATAAATAAAAATATTTTTCCTAAAATCAAAAAAAAAAAAAAAAAAAACCCTTAAAATATGCATTTAAATGCAAAATACAATTTAAAAACTAGCTTTGTTTTAGCATAAAACTTGTTTTTGTCTTATGAGGCTTTTATTATGAATTATGATTGTATAAAACTAATATTATGTAAGTTCTAAAAGTCCTTTTGTCGTAGAAATCAGTGTTGTGACATCACTTTAATACTCAGATCAAAGCTCTTAAGTCGAACACACGAGTTAAATGCATTCATTCATTCAGAAAAATTAACCAAGATTATAGGTTGTTTTTTTTTTTTTAAGTTTCTTAAATTAAACAATCCTACACCAAGTATATTTATAATACACTTATTAAAATTTTATTTAGACATCAAATTTTTTTTTTTTTAATAATTAATATAGTCCTTAATAATGGAATTCATAAACAGATATTATAATCAATTTTCATAGCATAAACTTATTCTACATAAGTACATTTAAATATTTTACACAGATTTTAAAAATGTTAATATCAAATAAAACACGTTTATAATGAAAAAAACTTGATATTTATTGTGGTAACATTGATAATTTATATTTTATTATTTTTCTATTATTTGATTATATTATATAAAATGTAGTCGAATTGTCCTTATGGTTGGAATTTAATAAATTAAGAAATATATTTGATTTCATTGATATATTTTCTTTAAAATAAATAAATCAATGAATACTTTATTGAAATTATATGCTCTGTAACAATTTGTAAGCTTGGTAAATATTTTATCTTTAAAGACTTGTTTTATTTATTGTATAAATTACAGTGAATATATTTATTATTTATAGATTATACATTTAATAAAAAAAAAAAAAAAAAAATAACAAAACAATAACACAACAAATTAGCATATTTATATAAATTACGTTTTTAATGGTCTAATGCGTTATTTTTATTTTTATTCATCTATAAATAATTCAAACTGAACAATTAATATAAATATTTAATTTTTAAAATATTTCTAATATTGTAAACTTAATTGAAATTCAACAATATGAACTTAACAAAAAACAATAATCATATTTTACCATATTATAATATATTTTTTTCTTAACGATAAAAACATTTTTGAGTAGAACTATCTATATATTACTAAGTTGTACATTATGATAAACAATTTTACTACATAATATATAAATTGTATATTATATTATATTATTTAAACACATGTTTTTTTTTTCATTAATTATTTTTAGCGTTAAAATAAACAACAACATATTATTGATATAATATTTATTTGTATAAAAATTGGTATTATTTAAAAGCACCAGCAGATATTTGTATACAAACAAAAAACTAAAATTCGCTTTAAGCTAGGTAACTATGATTTGTTAATGAAAATAAATGGACATTTAATCTTTTTACTACAGCTTAATGTATTAGTAATACATTTATAATATTGATTAGTATAATATTTAAATAATGTAGTGGATACAATATTATATATATTTTTCATTTAAATTGATATAATAAACGAATGTTATTCTTAACAATAATATCATATATTTTTTGTGTGCGTTGATATTTTTATAAATCAATCTATTTTATTTTTAGCAACACGTACATAACAATAAGACAATAATAAGCTTATATTAGTAAGTTAAATTATACATTTTGAAGCTAAAATATTAGAAAATATCATTATATACATAATGAAGTAAATTATGTATCTTAAATTTAAATACAACGAAGTTTTAATGTATATTGAAAAAATTATTCATTAATAATTGGAATAATTTTATTTTAATACATAATATCCACTGTTGAATGTTTCAAATACTTAGAAAACAACAACCGATTTTTAGTTTTACGAAAGCATTAATAACAAATAATTTACTCTTAGTACCTAGGCATTTAGTTAAATCATATTTTACTAGTAAGTAGTATACACTAGTTTTGCATAATTTATTAGAGATGTTATATGTTGAAAACTTAATACTTATCTATATTAGTTATTTTTCGTTAAAGTCTAAAACTACAGAACATGATACCTAATGGTTTTTTATAAATTCATATTTTCATTTGAATAATTTAAGTAAAATAGTATATAATAAATAATTGTACATATAGGTATGTATTTATATTATAATATTATATTATTATAAATAACTAATTTTCGCTTTTGTTGTTGTATTTATCTAATGAAATAACTATTTTTATAGTTAAGTTGATATTTTAAACGTATACAGTTATTATTAGGTATAATAAGTTATTTATATTTACAAAGTATTTAATAGAGAAATAGAACAAGAATTTTAAAGAAATTAACAATATTATATGATTTCAATATAGGTAATCAATAATTAACATTAAATAAATGATGTTTATGTTGAGCGATTCAATAAATTATTATGATAAGACTGCAGTTGAATTTTAATGACTTATATAACTCATTAAATGTATGTGTACTATGTAAAAAGGGCTTAGTTTTTAAAGAAACGTAAAAGGTGAATTTTTAATTTCAATATATAAATATAAGATCAAAAATGAATAGCAAGAATAAAATTATAGTATTAAATTAAATGAATGACTATTATATATTTTATTATATTATTGTCTTTTAAAAACGGTTAAAAAATAATATTATTTCTATTTATTTTCTTCGATATTGAGCTTTTTTTCATTGAAAAGTTTCAGTATCTATTTCTCTCCGTACGCTTTTGACAGCGACGCAAAATAATAATAGCATTATTAATACTTACATTAAAACTTAAATATAACTTATTTTAATTTCACAATATTGATTTTAAATCTATTATTTAAATTAGATATTTTGTGGATGAAATTATACGTCGAACAAAATCACAGTACTGTCTCCATTTCGGCGATTTCTGTCCTGAAAATATGGTTTACAGTTGATAGTAAAATTGAAATCATAAATGAAATTATATTAAATCAATTAATACAAATTGTGTATGTAACACATACATAATATATGCACATATTTATATATATAATATATAGTTTATATTGTCTTTTTTTTGATAAATATTCTTACGTATTATGTCTAGAGAAGTGTATATTTTTTGGAAATAAACTACAAACTTATTCTTCAAATTAAAAATTCTGAATATCGGTCATCTCCAAATAGTTGACACAATTTTAGAGAAAATATCTGATATTTAGATTTATTATATTAAAATGTTAATATAAATGCAGTTGTTCATAAGTCATAATAACGGTTATTTTGTCTAAGAAACAAAGTACTAAATAAATAATTTATTGAAGAACTATTTTAAGTTAAACATCATTGTAAGCCCGTAGTAAAAGCGTATAACTTTAAATTATTTTATAAGTAATTTTTTTTTAGTAATTATAAATGATGAAAATATTTCTAAGATAAATTGAATATGAAAGATAAAAATAAAAACTTATAATTTTTAAATTTAAATGCATGTTAAAAAAAATATTTATTTTATTTTGTTTTTCTTAGATAAATTGTTATTTTTGTTTAAAACAATACATATCGGAATATTAAATACATTTATTTTTGCATTTTTCAATTGATTTTTAAATAATTATTTTCTAATTACCTAATATTAGGTACCAAAAAACCAGTGTTATGATGCTTTATCATGTAGATAATTATAAAAAATTTTACCTGACTGGTTCATGATCATATCTATTTGTGTATTCTGTTGAAATAATACTTGGTCTCACTATGTCCCGTTGTCTTAGTGGCGATGCTGGTGAAAATTGATATCTTTAAAAATAAAAATAAAAGTAGTTAGATATTGAAATGAAAATATACACATACATGTGTGGTAGCTAATTTTTCAATGTTAGATTTGTCTTTACATAATATTAACGCACATGCTTCTAACTATTTACATTTAAATAACATTATTTATCGATCTATTTAGCGCGTCAAGCAGTATAATATTATAGTGTTATCAACTAGGCTCATTATAATATATTTATTTTATGATGAATTTGACCACCTAACTATCCGGTTCTAGAAATCTATAAGCTTTGATTAAAAGCTTCTGTTTTAATAATTATCTTATCCCATCATTGCCTATACTAATATTTAGCGCTGCAATAAAGCGATTTCGATGATCGTCTACCCAACCTATATTTTTTTTTTTTTAGTTCTTACTGTTTTTTATCCGGGTATTTATCGTGGTTTTCAGTGATACACTGAAATAGCCTAGCGGAAGGTGACATCGCTTTCTTCCTCCTGACGACACAAGTTTAATTTTGTTCAAAAAGTCCTGATGACATTACAAATATTTTTACCTTTTTTCAGACTTCAGTTTCCTTAACTCTAGCTCCTTTTCCAACTGTTTCATTTTTGAATAAGTGCTCATTAGCTGATTTCTGAGTAACTGGTATTGTGAATCACAAACAGCATCTTTGCAACGACGAAATTTTAGAATGTCTTGAGCTTCATACACAGCACCACGAAATGTTAACGATTTACCCATGCTCTGTAAAAAATTAAGTAAACATATAAGCTATCTGTTCAAATTGCAGTATTTTTAAATATTTTTAATAATATAAAATATTACCAAACTTATGAGAGCACAACATCCACCTTGATCAGTTTTTGCTAACTTTTTTCTGAAGAAGTTAAAATATAGACATTCTAGTAGTAATATTAGAGCTGCCAATAATGTACCACCCATTAATAATAAAAATGCTGACAAGAACTGTTCTAAGGCTAAGGGATCACTAGTAGCATTTTGATCGTGATCATCTGGTTTGCACGTGCCTGTCATCCAAAATCTTTGTAATCTTTCAAGATCACCTGAAAATGCATATTTTTAAATGTTTGCTAATTTTATTTATTTTAATGACTTAGTATACCATTTTCACGGAAATCTAGAAGTCGTTTATTAAACATTTGAACATATTTTGAATTTCTTTGGAAGGCTATAGCGTAACCGGTTTTTGCATACCATGAACCGACGGTCAACAAACGGCAATCATCATCTTGTGTTACCAAATAGTCAAGTACAGTACCATCATAGATAAAAGCATCAAGTTCTCTAAAATTATACAAAAAAATTAAACTAAGTTTACGTTTTTGGTGGTTTGGAAATTAATTTTTTGTTATTAAATTGTGTAGTTGTATTGTTTTTTTTTTTTTTTTATAGTAGTAGTAGTGGTAGCTTTTAGTTTAAACATTTAAATAAATATTTTATGATTACAATTTTATTTACTAAAAGTTAAAAATTAGTTTTAATTAATTATTTAATATAAATAGTTTGTGTTGTAACTACAAAGAAATGAAAATTAGTTAAAATTACTTACGCAGTTAATAACGAGTTAAGCCCTTCTTGTACAGTAGATCTATTATAATTTTTCATGTAACTGAACATTTCTGGAAAGTATTTATGAATTGTGGAATCAATATGAGAATGAGGCACTGTACCAAATTTAAACATAGGCTTGTGGCTATGAGGTTTGCTGAGCTGAAAATAATTTATTACAGTTCAATAATTAGTTATCGGGATTTCCGCTAAACACGTATGAGCTAAATAATTAATTACTTACCCTATAATCATCAATTCCAATAAAATCATAATATTCTTCTCGGGTAATCATGAACGCAGCTAAATTAGCAGTATATATAGCCAAAAAAACTACAGCAAACATAGCCCATATATTTGTCATGAACCTAAAGTAACATACAAATGATAAATATAATGTTTTTCATATCTAAAGTAACATATTATAAATAATAAATATTATAATATCTGTCATTGAAAATATTATAAAAAGTTATGACACACGAAGAAAGGGTTAGTTTTTATTTTATATTTAATTTGATAATGGCTAATTTATTCATTATAAATATCATACCTAGATGTTATACCCTTTGGTATATCCACTTGTACTGCTGCTTGAAAAAGAACTGCCCATATAAGCCAGTATGTTCTGAATAGTGAAAATCTGTGATTTGGAGCTTGTGAAACGGACTGAAATTTAAAAAAAATTCTTAAAAGTTCAAGTCAACTATTAGTAATAAACCATACTTTCATATCAAAGCCAGATGGACTCATCCACTCGAAAGCAAATATTGAAAAAGTGGCCGCTTGTATTGCAACTACTCCTACCAACATCCACGACGCAGTGTCAAATGGTTCTAGTATAAAATGTACAGAGTTTTATTTTTGTGTAATAAAATCATAACATTTAAGTATTCAATAAATTATATACCCAAAAATGCTGTAGGTGAAATGATACCAGTTCGTTTGGTGACAGCTATAGATATGCCAGTCTCCATAAACGGTAGGCTGAAATCGACTACTGATTCTCGGTCTGAATTTATCATTAATGAAGTCATCACCATGTCAGTATTTCTGTTTACTAATTCTGATATTAAACCATTCCATTTTCCATTCTAAAAAAAGGAAAACAATAAGATACGTAAGTGCATTTTTTTAAATAAAAATTGTACTTACCTCAAAGGTTCCCCATTTACCATCTTCAACCCTAACAAGTTCGTATGTAAATCCTAAATCTTCAGCAAATTTTTCTAACAAATCGATACAAAATCCTGAACAGCATTGGTAATGACTACTATTACGTTTGGCTGCAGTATCATCTAACCTATAATTTAATTTAAATATTACTACTTAAATACTCGTATTCATAGTACATTATGAACGTGATATGATTTTATTAAGCTATATACCCTTTCGTATCTTTTTCTTTAGTAATCCGGCATATTACACCCCTATTCATACTACATTTTCCAGTTATTGGGTCTGGTGGTGCGAGTGTAATGTAAGGAGCTTCTTCCAAAAATGTAATTCTTAAGTTAAACTTTTCTGGCACTCCTTGAGGTGGGGTGTGACTATCTCCTGGCCATACGATATCTTTGATATAAAGGCCTTCACGCTCCCACGATTTCCAAACTCCGATCTATAAAATTTTTAATTTTATTTTGCATGAAAACCTTTAACCACTATTTATATCTTGACAGTTGGCTCAATTTTTTTTTTTGATAAAATAAAAATGTGTGCAATATTAATAAAAATTCATTACTAATTAGTTGTATATATTAATTTATGTTTTAAATAATTTAACAATAGCAATTTACAATATAAATTATATATGTAAATATGTATATATTATATATATATATATTAATTTGTAACTTAAGCTTATTTAGCTTATTTATAATAGTATACTGTTATTTGTTCTACGTACTACGTTGTTTCTTAAACATAAATGGTAGAATAAAGATTGTATTTCAAACAAGAACAGTTACTGACATTAATTTGTTGACATTTGTGCATTATTTTCATGATAATAACAATATAGAATTAAATCCATTTTCCATAATGAGCTTACAATTTAAAGCTTATAAATAGATTACTTAAATGACTGCTTTGAATTGCTTTTAAAAGTAATTTAAAGTTTTGTTGATGTAATCATGATGATAATAATAATAACAATATATATTATAAAGTAAAATATATTTTATCGTTTACATACTTTTTATTATAATATGTAATAATTTAGTATTTTTTTTTTTTAATTGAACGCATTATTTTTGTTTACTCGAGTACTTACTAATACAACATTAAACATGATTAACTATTTTTTAAATTGTATGACAATTATAACTTATTCAATAATAATTATAAATCTAATGTTATCCTTAAATATTTATAATTAATAAGCATTATAGTTAAATAAACAAACAAATAATTCATGATTTTATACGAATTTGATGTACAACTTAAAACTTAATTTAAGACTAGTTTATACATTTATTAACTTACCTCTTCCCAAACAAGGGAGTTTCCTACTCCAGGTCTTAAATTCATAATTTTCAATTCTGCAGATTTTAGAACACCATCAGCTGTGAACTCGACTTTTGGTTTGGCTGGTTCTGTATGTTCGACACTAACATTTCTTAAATACCTAAACAACATTATGATTTGAAATCTGGTTGGTAATTTATTTATTTGCCAACACAATTTTTAGAATATAATTTAAACTAATAAACTATTGTCATTAATAATATAATAAATATGTGTTTACGAATTACGTAACTTAATTTATAGATATTTTGAATTTTACTAACAAAGAATTTAAAATATTCTTTAAATTAGTTCTGAAAATGAAGTATTGTTTCTATAAGATATTATAATGTGGCTTATGTGAAAGGTACATAGGGAAATCAAATTTGAATTGTAACCATTTATTTTAAAGAAACTATAAGAGATTTAAAAAAAACCAGTGACTAGTACATATGACGATAAGTCTTACATGGTATAATTTATCGTCATTGTGTTAAGTTAGTCGTTAAATACTTAAAACTTAACTCGTGTGAATAACAGTTTTTTTTTAAATTTAAATTTGTTGGAAAATAAATCCCTAATAATCTTTTTTTAAACGTGCATTTAATACGTTCAAATAATATTTAAAATTATAAGTTAAAACTTTAATGAATTCTGCAATGTAATTATGATTATATAATATAAATAAAGATAAAATAGTTATAATTTATTATTGTATTAACTAAGTTATACTAACTTGTAAAATTTTTCACCGGTGACCCAACGTGATTCACCTTCACCTTCACATGATAATTGTGTTGTAAGAGTTTCATTTATATTATTGGGATCGTTAACAAAATCTTCTACACCATGTGCAAATACTCTTATGGCTGTTGTGATCTCTCTTACTAAACTTTCACTGCTGGTATCAAAGTGCACCCCTATAATTTAAAACAAAATATTGATATGATATAATATTTGTTTTAATTTACAAATCAGTTTATTTTTTCAGTATTTTTTAGTTACAAATGTTGACAAATTTTATTAAAACAAAAAAATATATAAAGAAAATGTAGTAATAAAATATATATTATGATCTATATTTGTGTAGAAAATATTTTTTGATAAAAACCATACTTTATCATTCAATTAAATGACGAGATGTACTTTAATATACTATCTACTCATATTTTAACGAAATTACTGATAATACAGATTTAAAATTAAACATAATTTAAAAATAATACCGGTATCTTTTTCATAAATTAGTTTTGACTACTAAGCTAATAATATATTGAAAGTTATTTTAGATAATATAAAAATATTTTTATCTAAAAAATGGAAAAAATATAAGCAAACTATGTTTGAAGAATTTAAGAAAAATTTTAATACATACTATACATAGTATATACTAGTATAGTGTATATATGAATAATATAATAGTTATAGCTTAATAGTTTTTAAGTTTATTTGATGTATTTATAATAGTTTAATAAATACCTTTAAGTAATTTGCATTAATTTATAGCCTAAATGTATTGCGTTCGTTTAATAAAAATAGAAATTCATTGAGATTAAAAACTGATAAATAACAAACGGCATGATGTAATGAAAATAATATTACTCAAATAATATTTTTTTGTGTTTTATAAACTATGAATAACTATAATTAATATTCATTAGTATCATTGAAATATGTCAAGCACATCATTAAAAGGTTATCATACTTAATGAAAAATTAGAGTCATCGAAACCAAGTCTAAACACATGGCAAATAATATGACATTATACATGATTGTTCAATAATTACATTAGGTGTGATTTTTATCTCACTCATATATACCATATTTTTTAATATCTTACATAAATACTTAACAATGTTTCCTTGCAATTAAATAAACACTTTAGTGTGAATTCATTGATCAAAAATGTATTTTGTAATAGATCCATTAGTACTGTGACAATCGAGACTATTCATATATACTCTACAGCACTGTCATTTTGGGATTTTATTAAACCTTCAAAAACAAACTATTTAAGCTTTTCTATTAATTTATCTCTAAAATATTACTAAAGCTTCAACTATTTTAACTTCTCTGTTGAAACTCTTTATTATAATTTGTACTTATAGTTTAACTATTAAAACAAGAAATAAAGCTGCCTTTAAATGATATCAAACAATTTAAACTAAACTTAAACTTAAACATTATATGTAGAATTTAACTATCCTAGATAATCCAAAATATCACGAATAAATAAACAGAAAATTATATGTTAAGTTTTATTTAGTTAAAATAGATTTGACACATTCAATGTTTAGTCTGTTATTATTACTTTTTTATTATTATTATAAGTGTAACTTTTTTATTTAAATTTTAACTTAAAATATTAAATGTAATATATATATATTTAAATGTTATTAAATTATACTTTTGTAAAATTATATTCAATTTCAATTTTTTTTCTTGATAAATATTCTTAGATTTTTTAGTACATATTTTAGGTTTGGTTCGTCAAATTAGTTTTTTTTATGCATGAATTTAAAATATTATTGGAATATATTATAGAGAATTTAAATTGCATTTATTTATATTATAGAGAATTTAAATTGCATTTATTTATATTTTTTTTTTGTCTTCCACGTTCATTACTAAGTTTGTATAAAATCTACTCCAACATTTTTTATGCATTTAAGTGGATATTTTTAAATTTAATTCATTACTAATTAGTATTTACACTTATATTATGTGTAGGTATAAAAACTACTAAACAAATATTTTTCATCATTTTTTATTTTTTAGTTTTAAATCTTTGGTAAAATTTATCTTTAAAATAATGCGAGTTTATGTTAAAATTATTCAACATAATGTACACAAATGATGTTTAAAAGTAATAGATATTAATTAAAATGGATTTATACTATATGTTTAGATGTTTAAAAAATTAGTTTTAATTTATTGATAGCTATAATTGAGGTTTAAAACAATTAACTTATACTTCTTAGGGAATTTTTAAAGTTATATAAATTAAAACATTTCAAGTTAGATATATGAGTACAAGTAAATCATAATCGGAATATTTTTATGGTAGGTATTAAATCGATAAGAACGATAGACATGTACTATGTTATTTGGTGTTTTCTCTGGTGTATGGAAAAATATTGAACTATAAATATTTTTTTTAAATTATGATATATATATTTTTAAATTTATCTATTTGATAACCATCATAATATATACGATATATTTTAAACCACAACATTTTAATCAGTTGTATTTCAACATTTTCTAGTTTCAGATTACATGATAATATATTATGCCATAGTTATTATACTATTTACACTATTAACTTTTAGATTCTGAGTGGAGTGATAAATGTTTTTATTTTACAAAAATATGTTTTTTTTTATATGAGAACACAATAAGTTGTCATTAAAATGTTTGATTTTCAAATTTAAAATGATTTTAAATAGGGAATTGGATTTAGCTTATACTTTAGAAAGGTTTAAATTAGGCATTTTATACTACTTTCTTTTATAATCGAAAAAAAAAAACAAACAAAAAATATGAATATTTATACTAAACCAAATTTTGGCTAAATTGATTTCTTTATTTTGTTATAACTCAACAACAGAAAATGAAAATTTTCACCAAGTTATTATACTATCATTTTTTATATACGATAAAATATAATATTTTAAAAATATTTTAACTTTTTTTGAGCTAAAAAATTTGACAATTGAAATTTTCAATTTCTTTTAGGGATTTTTTTTTTTATAAATGTTAATAAAAAAACATATTAATTGATAAACATGTTTAAAAATTGAATGTATGCTTTATAATTAGTTATAAAAATAGATTAAAAGTTCAGTTTTAATTTTTATTTAATTATTTAATTTTTTTTTAATTTTTTTTTTCAGTTCCCAATTAAAAAAATATCATAAATTTATATTTTTTAATAATAATTTCAATTTCAATTTTTGACAAAATTCATGAAATTTTTTTGTTATATTTTGATAAAAGTACATAAAATAATTTCTGTTTATATATGAGATTTAAAAATGAAATATAAGATTTTTTATAAGTTTTTCATATATATCTATATATAAAAAAAATTCTACCAGAAAATAAAATTAATTTTTTATGATAATTTAAATTTCAAATTTTTATAACATTCATTTATATCCATCTGTATAATAAACTTATTTTTATAAACACTCATTTTTTCATTTGTATGAATTTGAAGTTAAAATTCTGAATAAATTCGGTAAAATCATTAACATTTTTAAGCTATTTAGTAATAAGAAATTCATAAAAACTTTTTGTTCTATTAAATTTTGAAAATTTAATAGAATATTTCTTTTAAGTTGTTCATAATAAAACTATAAGATCCAAGAAATATCTAAATATAATTATTTTTATAAAAATTTTAGCTTTAAATTTTGCTAAAATAATTTATTTAAACGATAAATAATGAAGTTAATTATTCTCTTATAATTTAAAAACATTATTTGTGGGAACTTACATTTATATATATTTTAAATAATTATGAATTTTACTAATCGTAATAAAATTTTTAATTTATTTCAAAACATTATCTTTTTTATAGGTATTTTAATCTATTTTTACTAGTTTACGGTATTTATAGAAAGATGTTATTATATTTTGAGTTTTTAAGTTGATATAATATTATGGTATAAATATATATGTAATTTTAATGATTAAATACTAATATTATAATAAATCAAATATTTATTAATCTACAAGATAAAAAATAAAAAATATAATATAATATTTTTTTTTTATCAAAAATAAAATAAATTATTTTAATAGTTATATCAAAAAAAAAAAAAAAAAAAAAGAAAAAAACTTAATGATATAAATTGACATACTATCTCCGTTGAGGTTCATATTTTTGTATATTTTTGAATTCAAATTTTAATAAACACATAATAGTGACCCACTCTTCAACTAATGTAGAGCAGGGTGGTTCCACCGTTTTTACCTTTTTTTTTTTAACATGAATCTTACTTAATATATAAATCACTTAGGTATTTGCTATTTTGATAAATATGAATTATCATCATTATAATTTTAATAATTATTAACTTTAGCGTAATATAAACCCTGCCATTTTATTATAGTTTATGTTATGGGTGGTGGTTAATCAAGCAAGTCCTTTTTTGATGAAAATAGAGCTGCGAAAATTAATTTTATCCAAACAAATGAACCTTAACAAATTGATAAATTTTAATTATTTTTTTATGTCATGACGTGATTTTTAATTCTAACCCTAAATTGCACACTGAATAACATAAAAATTATGCATTACGTCTAAAATATGAAAAAGGTTCGAAATAATTATTGTAATCTTAATTTGATTGTAATGTTAAATCAAAACATTGAATTCTACCATGAATAAGTGTTTTATTAACAGCTAAAATTGATCGAACACAATCAAATTTAATAAGATTTGAATGAAGAGATAATAACTGTGAAAACTTGATTTTTCTTTGAGATGTAAACAATATAGTATTATTTAATAAATGATAACATATACTATTTAAAAAAACATACCACTATAGTTCAGCGGGCGTTTATTATTATCCTTATTATTGTTACATTATTTTATTTTTATTTTATGTGCTGTGACGACGTGACAATATTGTGCCCGTCACTCTGTTGCACCGAGTTCTTTTACTGTTTTTTTTTTTCTAATCATCTTTTAAAATAATTAAATATTGTAATTAAATTTTGTATCAATTAATGTACTTATACCTTAATTGACGTAATTTTATTATTATACATTATAGTATAATGTTGTTACATATCAAATCCCACAGTTTACATGAGTTCCTACAATAATTTATTTTATTCAATAATATATTACGCGGGTAACGAATTGACAAGTGACATGTTTTACTAAAAATAAGAAGTGGCAGTAAAAAAATACGATTTATATCATCTTTGACAATTTAAATCTAATATATAAATAATCATTAAATGAGAAAACAAGTGATATAGTACACATCAATCTTAAATTTTAATAAAACGTCTTAAGTTTTTATACTATAACATATTATTATGAGTCTTTTAAATAAATTATTTACAATGTAAGTTATAATAATGCTATAATGTTGCTCAATAAATTTATTAAATTCAAACTATTATAATTTAAGTTTAAAATAATTATTACTAAATGGTATTCGTGATGAAAGTAAAAGGTACGTATAATTATGTAATTACTTGTGTAAACAACTATTTCACTAAAATCAAAAAATACTATCACACTACTATCTGGAAATTAAATTTTTATTTAAAAAAATCTTAATTTATTACCTATAGTTCTATATTAGCTGAGATAATATCTTTAGATGTTACAATTATTAAATCAAGCTTATAATTTATTCAAAATATATTTATTTATATATGTTATATTTACCCAACATTCCAACAGGAAACAATTGTGGTGCTTGTAAATTTTCCATCACACTCTGAGTTACTACCCAAACATAATTTTCACCTGTGATATCTAAATTTCTTGCTGCCTGTAATATTCTAAGTGCTTCTTCCCTTGTACAGTACAGCAACATTACTCGTGATTCTGATGTAACCAACTGTTTTAGGTCTGAGTTTTTGGTAACCAATACTGAACTCAGTATTGTAAATCTATAATTCAACACAGAATTTTTAATTAAATTCATATTAACTAAATAACAGATAACGTAAGATATATGATGAATGATAAATACAAGTTTGAAATGATAAATCTTGTTACGTGATATTATTCTGTCAATCTACAGAGGTGAAATAAATTGATATATTTTTTCTTCAAATCAAGAAACTTTTAATTGATAAAGACTTTTTGCGTTTAGCATTATTTACGTAGCAATTCTTTATATTATTAACTTTTAACAACTTTTTCTTATATGTATATATGAAATGTATATATAATAGTATTTTTCTTTTAAACTCATCAAACTGTAAGTTTTTGTTTGCTATCATTATTATGTGAGTAGATTGCAAAGAAAACTAACTAAAACGACAAATTTTCAGTAAGATGTATTATTTTTGCAGAAAATGGAGTAAGTATATTCTTTAAAAACTACAATATACAATTTATGAAACAGCTTTATTTAAACTTGTTGATTTGAAAACAGATAAGTGTCAAGTATCCACACTGTTTTTATTCAAATATATTTTACTGAGTAATATAATATGTCTAAAAAGCAATTTTAATTTTGACATGTTCTCAAGAATTTTTATCATAAAAATATTATGAATAATTAAATTTGTTTAAAAAAATAATAAAAAAAATAAAATATTCTAATTTAAATAAAAATTTAAGCCAAAAAACTTACTTTAATTATATTATACTAATTATTAATTTATTGGACAAAATCATTAAAGACTAACTTATACGTATATTTCAACATTATGAAATATATATAGATATAATTATAAATACCGTTTAAATTATTTGAACATGGGTTTTGTTAAAACTTTGAAAATTTGCGATTTTCAATTACAAAATTACATTTTAATCAAAACTGTATAGAGTAATTTAATATTAATGAATTTGTTACATAATATAAATGTATATATTAAATATGTATTTATTTATTTTAAAATGTAATTAATAACGAGTCATAAAATACATTAAAAAAAAAAATTATTACAATATATAATTATATATATTTTATGAAAATGTATTTTTTAGAAAAAGAATAATACCCAAATATTAATTGGATATGATAACTATTTATTACACTAATTGCTTATTTTCTGAGTATTTACTATTATTTAATATTTACTACGTATTTGAAAAAAATAAAATCAATAAAAATAAAATACTTTATTTTATAAAATTATTTGATATATTGTGTACTATTTCATATTATTTTCTTTTATCAAGTATCTATGATGATATTATACATATACAATTATATAATGTTTAAGAACTAAATAAATATTAAAATCATTGAAAACTTAAATTTTAATTAATGTGATAATAATTTAGGTATAATATAACATTTTAATAGCTTATATTATAGTTACACGTGTTTTTGTTTTATTTATTTTGTCTGTAATTATTTTTTTCATTTGAATGAATTACGTGTTTTTTTTTAAATTGACATTGAGTTATTTGAGTGCAGAATCAATTATACCGTTAAAGTTTATGATCAGAGTTTGAATCTAAATAATATATTAAACTTTAATTTCAAACAATCAAGTTATTATTTCGTACAACTCTGGCATTGTTAAGTTTTTGATATAATAGATAACTTAAAAAACTTATAGTTAGTTTATTTTGATTTCTTTATAAAAATAGTACACTTGTAATTTACACAGATAAATATTCAGTGTGTTAAGTTTAAGAGTGCGTAATAATAGCTAAATCAAGTAGCCAAAATATATTTTGTGCTAAATTGGATTCAAATTTGGCTAGTGACTCGTTACCTCGTAAGTGCTTGTAGATCATATATTTTTTTTTTTTTTTGAATGAAGAGAACTTTGTTTAATTTCTATAGAAATTTTTGTTATTTTCAAACATTTTCAATATATTTTTTTTTTATTTTTATACTTTTTTTAGGTATTGCAATTCGTTTGTTGTTTTGATATACCAGTAGTTTATACATGATTTAAAAGATAATAAAGTTTCTAATAAAATGAAAGTTGTGTTTTTTTTTTTTTTTTTTGTACTTACCTAACAAATAAACATGAAAGGCTATGTACAAAAAACAAGAAAATCGAAAAGAATGCTTCTTAACTAATTTACATCATAATATTACCATTCAACATTGATTTTAAGGTACAAAAAGATTTCATATGCATCTTTTTTTCCACTCAAGAAATAACCTCAATTTTGTTCCTTTTTTACCACACACGCACACACATATAATGTACTAGTGTATTATATTTAATGTACTTCGATTGTATATACTCTTAAGATAATAAAAATAAATGTATATTTTAATAAATATTTATGAAATGTTTTATTTATCCCTGAAATGCTATTTATTGTATAAAAAAAGAATAAATTATAAAATAAAAAAAAATAGGCTATTAACAGAATATTGTAATGTATTAATCATAAAATATCGATAATTTGACATTTCACCTATTTATAAGTGCATTGAAATCACTCTTATTACTTGAAGTGTTAAAATTTAAAATGCAAAGAATGTATAAAAATGCATATGGATTGTTTTAATACAAAGAAACTTTTTCGTTTAATATGCTAAAATTAGGAACTTCGAAGAGTTTCTAACAAAAACAGTTTCGAAACATAATTTCTTATTCTTATATTTTCCATAATTTTCACTAATGATAGTAAAATAAATATAGCATGTCAAAATACTATTCGTGTATTATTATATTTTCTTTTGAGACTTTCAAAGTAATTTAAACCTTTATATATGTTAAATTATTACAAAAAGCAAAAAAAAAAAAATTAAATGAAATATTTTTAATAAATTCATAGTAATATACATTAACACAATAGCCTTTTTACTTCATTGAAAGTTTATAAAGTATATGTATTCAATACAGCGCGTAAATGATATGTCTTTGTACAATAATTATTTGTGTAAGGAACTTTAAATAAAATCTTATTTGAACAGTATGAATAAATTTACATACGTAAGTTCATGTAAATATATGATTGATGTTCATTCATTATAAGTTAATTAATGTTCAAAATGTATTAGCATTCTCGTTATTTCTATACATTTAAAATGTTTGATACAAGAATTTTAATGAATTAAAACATGAATATTTTCAATTATATTTTTTAAATAAGTTTAAAAAGAATTATTTTAACTTACATTTATATTTATTAATAAAACTTAAATTCAAATTTTCATACCAATTAACCATTTCATCTAATTTCATAGTAAAAATAAAATATTTATACATATATATAAAGACAATAACCAGATTCAAATATTATACAAATATTGATGTTTATTTATTTTACTATAGTTTTTGCAGAATTCAATCAATTTGAAAATATAGCTATTAAAATCATTAAGGAGAAGTTAATACAAAGATAATATATTCTATTACTCGTATTTATGACTATGTTTCAATGGATAGGAGTAGAAGATATATAAATATATATATATTTAAAACATATTCTGTATTAGTGTAAATATTAAAAAAATATTATAAATTTAGAATTAAGTATTTATTTTATTTTATTTTTAAAAAAATTTTCTCTTAATTTAGTAAAATTGAAATTGTTATTGATATTTTTAGTTTAATTGAAATTTTTGAATTTCAAAATATAATTCGGTAAAAAAAAAAGGTACAATGTTATTGAATTTGGATAGATTTGAAAATAGATTACATTGTGTATTATAATTTCTTTGAATATTTTTAACTTACTTAAATTTGTCTTGCATATCTGCAACTCGTTCTCTGACTGCTTGAATGAAATCGTCATGTCCCGCAATTTGTGAAGTTACAACTGAAAACTGATGCCACTTATACCTTTCCAATATACTTAACATTGCAGCTGTCTGATGTTCTAACGACGGTGCCAATTGAAGTTGTAAACTGGATCGCGAAGCTCTCTGAAATAAAATTAATTTTTTCACCATTCAATATGTTGTATAATATGTTTGAATTTTTTGTGATATGTATGTATAAAAAATATTAAAATTAAGTTGGAGGAAATATTTTAGAAAAAATATTATCTGTCAATCGCATTCAATAATTTCGTATGTAAGTGAATTTTGAAGTGGAAAGATGAAATGCATTTCTCCTTTTATTCAGTGTTGTAAAACCTCAATATAGATTTCTATATATGATTTTTTTTTTTTGTTAATACCGAATTACGTTTTTTAGTTTAACCTATATTATAATATTTAGAAATATGATATAATATAAGTTAAAACATTGAAATTATATTCTTTTGGAGTGAATTAGCGATTCCAATTTCATAAATTTTTGGATACGAAAATATTTTACCATAATTGTACAGTAATTTTAATTTAAAACATTCATTATAAAATATTATAAATTTTGTCTTAGAATATAATATAATATATTAAAATACAATCATCTCTCGAAACCTTCGTGAATGAAATTATTGTCTGAGCAATATATTTTATATTTCATGATGGAAGATCGTTAAGATCGTAGTATTAAACGATATACCTAATAATAGAATAATATGAACATTTCTGGCAAATTTCCATTAAATAAAAATATATTAGGATAGTTTTCATATGATATTAATGAAATGTAATAGATATCCAAATTAATAAATAATTACTAATAACTAATAATTATAAATATTGGTTTAAGTATCAATGGAACTATGGACCATAAACGATGGTCAGTATTTAATATGTTATAAGTTACAACATTAGTAAGTCAATTTTAATTTCAATACTAATTTCCGTATTTCATAAAAAAAAATGTAGCATGTTTTACTTTCATTTGAATTTTATGGAAATGATTTTAAGTTAAATATTTTTTCATTATTTCAGTGAATTCAGTATATATGTTAATGGTCTTTTTAGATGACAATTTTTTTATTTTAAAAACGGAGCAAAAATATATGTGTTTTTGGTCTTAAAAGTGCATCGATTGAGAACAATTTGTTGAATTTATTACATTTGTAAAACTGCAAATTGTTTTGTTCGCAGCGTGTATGTTGAATATACATATTAATAGTTTTAATTAAGTAGTGAGTACAAATGCACAACAGATTATAATCACCTTTGTTAATCAACATTGAATTTTAAACTCGCATCATAGTAATTATGATATAATGAATTAATATCAAAAATCAGTTTGATCGTTCATAATTAATTTTATTTTGATTTCTTTATGTAGATGAACAATTTTTTAGCTCAATAATTTACTTAATTTAACTTAATGAAATTGCGTAAATATATTGACATATTGTATTTTTCTTATGCTGCGTACATAATATATAAATAATTATTTTAAATTTATTGAATTATTAAGTTAATTATTAATTATAAACATTTTTTGTTATTTACGTATAAATATTTATTTTAATTTTAAAATCAACATAATTATTTCTCTGTAATACATAAAAACAATTTAATAAATAATATTAAGCGCTTCATTATTACCATAGAAAAAAAAAACTTTAATGAACATTAAATTATAAATTTATTTTAAATAAAATATCTTAGTTAGTTAGCGAAATTTAAGAGAGTTGTTGTCACTTGTTGAGCCTAACAAAAACTCAGCCCCCTATTTGTTAAAAATTAAAAATATTATTCTACATTTATTAAAATTTAACAGTATTTTTATTATTTTATAAATAAAATGAAATCCTAATCTTACAATTAAGTTTTTTGTTAAAATACACATACATTGTATGATTGAAATATTCAAAATAATTACTATGCAGCCATACAAATAAATAAATTAATAAATTAAAAATATTTTAAATTCAAGAAATCAACGTTTCAAAATTAATTAAACATTGATTATTTTTAAAACAAACGGAATATTTAAAAGTTTTAATATAAAAATATATTAATATTTTAACATATTTATGTGATAAACTATCTACAGGTATAATTTCACTTAAAACAAAAATGACATATTACTCCCACTTAAATATACCAAAAATATTAATTGAATCATTTAGATATAATCGGTAACTGTATGTTGCACTTCACGACCCTAGTTAGGTGTAAAGATCATATAATATTCATTCGCTAAATCACATACATTATAAATGCATATTTTAAGTCATAAGAATATTGCATCTAGGTATCTAGTTTAGTCTTGAGTGTTATATAATGAAGTTAATCGAGTAAATTGTAAACTACAAAATAATATTTTTCAAGTTAAGATAAAATAAGCGTATTTGTGTATGAAATATAGTTGAAATGAATCAATAAAATGTAATAAAAAAAAAAAATAAAAAACACTTGGAGTTGAAGAAATCCTTAAGTATAAATCATTTAATAATTATATTAACAATATATATATATATATATATATATACATTTAATTGTAAAAATTGTGGTAAACTGTAGAAATAAAGTATCAAGTGGTTGTATCTATTTCATTAAATTTTTGGACAACTAAACTCTTCTTGTGGCTTGGCGTGGCGCGTTGGCTGCTTACCAGTCGCGGAATGCAACTGAGAGTAAGTAACGGCCACAGCTACTAGCTCCCAGATGGGTGACCACTCGGGATTATAGTGGTTAAAAACCTTGCCACACATACACGTGTTTGCAATCAACCGTAACAATCGTAAAATATAACTTACCGTACTAACCTCACCCCTTACCATAGTTCATAACCCCTACAAACAGTTAATGGTCCTAGTTGCCGGGCTTAAGTTCAATAAAAAAAAATAAATAAACTCTTCTTATCTAAACTAAATCATTATTTATAAAAAAAAAAAATTATTTGTTCAATGTTTCGAATTTCCAGAGATAGTTTATTATTTGTATTAGCGTATATATTATATTTTGTTACCTGTTTAGCGATAGAAGGATAATATAGTAACGGATGAGTTAGAAGGGTGTATAAATATTCTAGATCTAGATTAAATATAATTTGTTATTATTACTTATTTTTAAATATAATATCCTGGTTTTGAGTATTAATAATCTGGTAATCCTAACCATAATAGTATGTGAATATAGATATAAGTACATACTATTTACGTAATGGTATACGTACAAATACTAATAAATAAAATTTACTAGCGAGAATGACGTTTGGAATATTTAACACGATAAAAAATTGTTCTCTAGAGAACAATACAATGATAATATATTAAGACCTTTTATATGTTGAAAGCATCGCATTGTACGACCAAAGCCTGACGTTGGCTATTTTGACGTAACAACTATCGACGATATTCAAATATTATGTTCAAAATGTATTCGTGAACATGAATGTCGTATTCTGTTACGCTAAATTTGAAGAATTGATATTCAATATTTATAAGTACACTATATTATATAGTATTTGTTAGAGTTTATTTTTATTTTTGACATAATGTGTGTTATCGTGTCCGGATAACGATATGTTTTATTTTTTTTTATTGATATTTTTTGTATATTAAAAAAAAAAAAAAAAAAAAAAAAAAAATGAGAAAATGAGAAAATATTAATCGGTATTAAATATTATTATAAATAGAAATTTTAATTTTAACTGAATTATGAATAAGTGTCAAACATTGAAAAATTATATGCAATCATTAAGGTTGTTTAATATTCATTTTTAGTTTAGGAGTGCATTATATAATTATAGTATTTATGAGCAGTTAATTGTTTTGAAATAATGTACATAGGTAATATTGATAGGCTATTATTTTTTTTATGTAATATTTATAATAATATAATACCATTTGATTAACTATAATACATTGAAAAAAAAAAATTAAAACTGTAATAATTACAAGTTATAAAATTATAATATACATATGTATGTAAGATAAAATAAACGCCTCATAAATTTAAACACTAAAAAGAGAGAAAAAAAGATAACCACTCTGTAGTACAGTTGTAGAAGTAAAAATCATGATTAAGTAAGTCACTGTAATTGATGTGTTACATTTGAATTTGATATAAATCATTTTGATTAAAAAAAAAAAAAAAAACATTTGAAAAACAATTCTGAGCGGAGACGGTTTGTTGACCATTATCATAAAAATATTATATTGCTATTAATTATTAATGTATTTCATTTTGCAATAATTAATACAGTATAAATTATATTAAATAAACGATAATATAAAATTAATCTAAATGTTTTTAAAATGTCATTATGTATATAAAATATTATAGTATGCTTAAAAGTTTCAAATTATTATGAAAAACATTTTAATTACAACAAAATAACTAAAATCGTTACTTTTTGTTTAAATTACACTTTAAAACTTTTTGGTTGAGTGAACATATTTCATTGACATATATACATATACAAAAATTCGTTACACCGAAAAGATAAATTTTTTATAAATAGCTCAAAAAGAGTCAAATCTATTTTGAATTAACGACGTGTAGAACATTAAATTTTTGTTTCTTTCGGACTCTAGTGTTCTATTGGAATGGTTTACTTAGAAATAAATGATGAAACACTAAGGTATACGAAAAGTAATTGGGTTTATTAGGTTTATTGTACTATTATACTTAAAAAAAAATATACGTGTGCTTCGGCCAGCGGTCACGGCAGCGATCGAATCACAATTTTTGATTCGTTATCGACGCTTGCCCATAGCACCTTCATATAGGTACATCAATAAAGTATTACCGCTGTGCTCACATATAGGTAGGTATCTCAAAAATAAAACTACCACATATAATATGTAGAAAAGAAAATTATAATTTAATAGGTTGTTGAAAATTTCATATAGTTCTTTGTTTTTGAATTACAATAAAATAAGAAAATCTTTAATGATAAACTATTATTTATTACTATCGGATATTCTATTTTGTAAAAATATAATCATCAGACGTTAATAAAAATTATTTAAAAAATTAAATAAAAAAAAACCTCATTTTAATATCAATACATTTATCGTTTCATTTTAAATCAAAAATTACTTAAACATTTTTCAAATTTATTTTTTTAACATATTTCATGTTTTATTAAAATATTTATCTTCGTCATTTAAAATAAATAATTATAAATAAGGTGATTTAAAAAATGTACTCACACCTAATTTTTCCTTTGATAATGCATTTATTCAAATGTTGATGATTTAAATTTTTAAATATACTTAAAAACTTTTAGATTATATTTAAAATGATAGACCTTAAAACGGTTTTACAAAACTCTAAAACATAGGTTTGTAATATTGGATATAATGTTTATAGTACTTGAATCATTTTTACAAATTTTAAATTTTGATGATTTAATAATTATTAATAAAAAAATTTAAATTACCATAATGTTTTAATAGTAAACACATTTACTAAATTTTCTCCATATATTATCTTCAAATATATTAATACTTATACATATTATCCTTAGTACACAAAGTATTCCATAATATTAATTGATTAAAATCTATTTTAGTTTATAAATATAATATTATTAAACACTGATGGAAAATTTAATTATATAATTATTGTATACAGTATTTTGATATAAATGCTAACTATTATTTTAATATTTAAGATTTATAGTAAAAAATATTAGCAAAAGTTTGTCCTTCAACGACACGCTTCCTTAGTTTTCATTTTGTATATGAATATGATACCTTTAAAGTTTCTAACTTTTTAAGTAATATTATAATTTCATTCGTTTTTAAATTATATAGCCAAATGTTATTACCCGTTCCAGTCCCGAGTTGTCAGCGTTCCATGCTATTACTGGAATTCCCAAGTATCCGGCTAGTTGTAAAAAATACTGCGCTGATGCTGTACTTCGACCGTATTTTTCGTAGTTCATCAAGTATAAAATTGCAGACACATTCATGTTGAGAAACTCTTTGCACAAGGAATCCAATATAGCTGTAACATAGTATAATAACTATAAATTAATTCTCACTTATTTTATTTATTAAAATACTTGGTATCATTATTATTTAGTTAAATAGTTAAAAATAACGACGATAAGATAAATAATGAACTGATAAAAGTCTTATTCTAAAGCAAATTCAGTTTTAAAGACATTTAGAATCCATGTAGGTATAACATATATATATATAAGAAATTCGTTTTAACTAAAAATAATTGTTTTCAATTATTATTTGGAAATATTATTTTTAAAATGTGGTTTAATTAAAAATAAACAAAATTATTTAAATCGATTTTAAAGAGAATTGAAATAAATCATGTCTGTACAATACTATATTTCATGCTATTCATACCTTTTTAAATAGTATGTTGTTTTTTGTGATTGGGATTAAAATTAACGCTTGTGGAAATAATAATTAAAGATACAATTTAATGACGTTAATATCTGAGTTAAATAATTTATATTTAATGAGTAAATATTTTAAACACATATATACATAAGCAAAATATTAATTTAAGTTCACGTTAATGTTTATAAAATGTAACTATTTTAGGTGTTAAGATATATAAATAAACGGTTAATTAGAAAAATATGAGCCTTAAGCATATAATCAATAATAATACAACATTTTATCGTAAAAATCTTAAACATAATTTTGAAAAATTAAAATAATAGAGTTTAGATTTTATCGAACACTAAAATGTTGAAATATGTACTTAATAAATTAAAGATTAATTATTAGGTATGTAGTATTGATAATAATTATAAAATCATAATTGTTATTGTTATATACAAATCCCAATATTATTGTAAATATATAACTGTATTTAGTCCTAAATATATTCTATTCATTTTTACAACTTAAGCAATATACGTGAATGTCTCCAATATTTCTTAGTAACCTTCTTAAATTCAATTACCTAATAATCTGATAAATTAAATTTAAAAAAAATAATAAATTTTTTTGATTCTTTGTTATATATAATATAATTTTAGTTCATTCTGATAAGTTAGAATGTTAGATAATTAGAGATAGGTAATGTTGAGTATTATGGAATTAAATAGTTTCAAAATTATTAAAGAATTATGATTATAAATATAAAAATATAAATATAAAATATATTAGTTTTGAAAATAATATTTATTGGTAACTCATTTAATTAAAATTTTTTTTTGACAATAAACTTATTAACTAAAAAAAAAAAAAAAATACAAAATATTTATAAAAAGGGTCATGAAAACAACAATTTAATAAGATTCAAATAGCAAAGACTGAATATTACGAATACTGAGAAAGCATTAAAGATGAAATAAATTAAAAATTTAGCCCATTTAAATATTTTTCAAGTAATTCTTTTGTATTTTCATCCATAAATACTTTTTTAACTTATATCCGGATCAAGTAAAATAAAACCGAAGAAGTTACTTTTTTTTACAATAATTTGGGGTGTATAATTTGTCATTGTAATTGATGTGTTCAATTTGAACTCAAAAATAAATCATAATCAATGTATACGAAAAACTACTCTGAGTGGATACAGTCTGTCAGAATATAACTTAAAAGATATTTTATTATTAATTTGATAGATCAAAATATTGTTTTCCAAAAACAAGATGCATATATTAACTACATTAATAATAATATCATATTTATAATAATATTATTATTTTGCTTAATATTAATAGGTTGTTTTTAGTTTTTAAGTCAATATATTTGTATGAATGTTTATTAAATATTGGTTCATGGAATAAATAGCTTAAAAGTTAAAACTATTCTAAATACCTTGGATATTTAATTTCGTATAATAAATAATAAATACTCAGTGATGAAAAGTTGTAAGTACTTACAACTAAATTAATATTAAAATATGATAAAATAACTAAAATTATTAGTTTTCAATATAATATCAAATGTTGTTAATATTTGAATTCAAAATAATTACAACAAAAAATCATGAATATGAATTTTGAAACTTTTAAGTTACTATAAGAAAAATTTACGATAAATCTTGAATTAAATTTTCAGACTTAAGTTTTTAAAATTGAATACATTTTTAAATACAAAATAGTTTTTCGTGATTTTTAAGATGTAATTTTTATTTTTATTCTATTTTTAAAACTTTTTGAATAAGTACATTAATTGTAATCGACATTTGTAATAAAACAAATTAAAAAAAAATCCATTTAGTATATAAAAAATAAAAATTTAAGTAATAATGGGATATTTCAAGTTAGTTACTTAAAATTTTTTGAGTAATAATAAATGAACAAAAAATGTTGGAGAATAAATCAATTGAATATCAAAATTATAATTTCATTCGCTCATCAAAAATTATGTATGTTGATTTAAGTTAAACTTTTTAATTATCAATATAAAAAATTATGAAAAATCGTTCCATCAATTTTAAAAACCTTAGATGTTGAAATTAAATATTGTGTATAAAATATTTTAATAATTTTATACATTATAATGCCTAACGGCATTAGGCTACAAAACACGTCGATAGGCATACTTGCTTATGCTGATGATATAGTATTGATGGAAGAGTCTCAGGATAGTTTGAAGAGTTTGTTCAGTAAATTACATAAAGCAGCATCAAAAGTAGGACTATGTGTAAATGAAGGGAAAACGGAGTATATGTTTCTGAGTAGAAGGGAACTACCTTTCTGTCAGTCCATAAAAATAGATCACTTTTAATTTAAGAGGGTAGAACAGTTCAAATATCTAGGTTCCTTTGTGACCGAAAAAAATAATGTAACAATTGAGATAGCAGCAAGAATTCAAGCTGGGAATAGATGCTATTATGGACTGACTAAGATACTAAGCTCACGAACAATATCGCGAGGAATGAAGGAACGATTATATACGTCCTTAATACGACCGGTTGTATTATATGGCTCGGAAACATGGCCAATCAGAAAAATGGACGAGCATAAGCTCATGATCTTTGAAAGAAAAGTTTTACGGAAAATATATGGCCCGGTCAAAGACGAAATAACTGGGGAGTGGAGACGAAGAAAGAACATAGAGCTGGAAATACTGTATGGTAATGCGGACATAGTGGAGGTAATTAGAAGCAGAAGACTACGGTGGGCTGGCCATGCTTGGAGGAGCCAAAATCCACTTTTACATGCAGTGATGGAACAAAACCCTATAGGTAAAAGACCTCTGGGAAGACTATGAATGCGATGGGAAGATGTTGTAAAGAAGGACGTTGAGCGTATAGGAGGCTGCTCCAATTGGAGAATGCTAGCACTAGATAGAGAAGGTTGGAAGCTTGGTTGTGAGACGGGATGGTCTTAAAGGCCCAATAAACCCTAAAAAAAAAAAAAAATAAAAAAAAAAAATACATTATAATATTTAACTAAAAAAATAACTTACACATATTCGTGATTATAACGATTTTGTAAACATTTGTATAAAAATACTAAGGTATAAAAAAATGTGGATATGTATTATGATGTTATTTATGACTGATAAGAAAAACATATAAGGAATCATGTACTAAAATGTCATGATTTTTAACTCGTAACTCTTACTCGACATGTCTAAATGACTATCAACATCAAAAAGTATTTAAAATATGTTTAAAATTATATAATATCTAGATAATGTTAAATTAAAATGTTTAAACTTATTCATTTTTGAATTATGTAAAAATGAAATAAAATAGATTTTGTCAAAAGTAAATTTTATGTAAAAATTCACAAAACAAAATTAATAAAGCTATAAGTATGATGTCCTAAATTATTTTCCTTAAATTTGTTATACAATATTATATTTTATACAAACTAAACAATTTTACAGATTTGCTTGTTAACAAATTATGAATATAACTTAATTATTTAAAAAATATTAATTAATTTAAAATTGCATTAAAAGTTTAAAGTTATATCATTAAAATCAAAAATTAAATACAATTTCTAGACGTTTTTAATTACTTATAAACTCAACTAGAGCGTCTAAATTTTGTCAAATCTTTAATTATAACTGAAAAGCAATAGATGGAACTCTTAAGTAGAATAAATGTCACTCTACTATATTGAAAAGAATGATTATCTAATCACATCACGTATTTTTGCTTCACTTTCCTTCTCATATTGGCCCCAGAAATAATGATAATGAGCATTCAATTTATCGCGTGGATTGTTAATATATTGTCGAAAATTTATTGATTTTATATACAGATTATTCAAAATAAAAATTTCTTTTAAGATTCTCTAATGAAAAATTATGATGGCCAAGGTGATATAAACCTATTTTTTTTTAAATTTATAAAATTTTGGCTATTGATTTATAAAGGTAATTTTCACAAAATATATATAATACCTATACTATATACTGAGTTATTTAACAAGCAATGGTGGATTCAAAGGAGGGAAGCCCTCCTTTTTAACAGTTATATTGTATTTTTAGTTGTAATAATATGAGCTAAGTAATAATATTTCAATAATTTCAAACTTTTTTTATAAATTATAAATTAAATTATAATTAAATTATAGTATTTTTCAAGTTAGAAAATTTGATTTATACTTCATTTCAAGGACTAACATTAAATCCTAAATATTTATAAAATTGATATGAAGAATTTTTGGTCCTCCCCACAAAATAAATAAATTAAATAAATTGTCTATATCCTCCACTGTTACTAAGCATATACTCATCCTTCCCATTTTTAATTTATATAAAATAGTTAATTTTTAAAATGATTGATATAACTCTGTTATTGAATAGAATATAAAAAAAATCGCATTAGATATCATTGAAAATTATATTATTTAAATTTTAAAAATTATATTTATAATAAATTTAAAAAAAAAAAGTCATAATATAATTTTTCATAAATCAGCTTATTAATTTTTAATACTATTATGGTTAGTATAACCAGTACTCGGGACTTCATGCTTTAAAAAACTTTAAAATATACATGCATTTATGCGATTAAGAATTATAATATGTGCTTATAAAAATATTTTATTTTTCATTGAAAAA